TTCTTCGCAGACACAGATCAACTGCGCTGGAGACTTCACAGCCATGTTTCTGCTCCTGGCTCTGCTCTGGGGGGGGGGGGAAACCATAATATGCATTCTGGGTCACAGGTTCCCAAGCTAAACAGGGCTCCACAAGGTGCTGAGGCTGTTTGGGGGTCATCCCAAGTTTCCGCAAGTGCACCAAACAGGAATTCCCAGGGAGGGAGTTACACCGGGGGTATCCACATTATCCAAACACCTCAGATAGTGCTCCAGACAGGGAGACACACCGGGGGTATCCAAACAATTCAAACAGCCCCAGACAGGGAATTCTATCAAGGGCACTCTCATAATTCAGCAATTGCTCCGAAAAGGAAGTCTGTAGCAAAGGGGGTTGCCATGGAGGCGGCTCCTGACTCTGGTACCTCCAGCATGTGCACAGGGGCTACGGAGGACTGGGGCACTTCCGCCACTCAGGCCTCTCCAACTGCTGGCCTTGGGCTCGAGGGACAGTGTTCTCAAGAGGAGTCCATTGTGGACTTGAGGACTTCCACCCCTCCAAGGTACACTGACTTGGATTCAGAGTATCCAGCCAGTCAGTAGCTGGGTGGATCACCTGGGTATTTGGGGCAACAAAGTCCTGGCCTCCCTAGCCTGGTAGGCGAGCAGGTAGGTCAGGCACACTCACCGGCCATTAGAAGGTCACAGGGGGCCAAGTGCCCACCCAAACATCTAGGAGATTATGTGAGGTTTCTGTCAACACATAGGGAACCTTACTAATAGGTCGCTGGGTGGGGTTAACACTCAGTAAAGAGTATCATATACTATTATGATTTTGGGTGTGTTTTGTTTAATTTAATAATGTTTTTGTGAAGGTGTCATGCCTGTGCGCAGATCAGAGTGACTCCACTCTCCCTGCCTTTTGAACAATGTACCTGTGCGTAAAACTAGGTATATTTTATCTAGGGGGGAGGGGTGTTGTGTCCTGAGCCTGCTAGAGCAGGAAGCAGGCTCAGAATTGTTGCAAATGGTCCCGGGCAAACCAAAAGCTACCCGGGACCAGACAGGGTGGTGCCAGCCTTGTGCGCATTCGCAAGGCCCGAAAATGGTCAATTCCTATTGGTTCACACTGTCTGGGTCTCAGATCCTATAAAAGGCCTGCATGCCTTTTGCTGCTTGCTTGGTTGTAGGAGAAGAGTAATAAAGAGCTTGTTGTTTCACCATGTGTCTTCGTCAATTGCCAACAAACGGAAAACACAACAAAAGGGACTACTGATTCAACCAAAGGAGTACAATCAATCTTAATATTTTATTGAGTAAGCCACAATTGGCTGGGTTTACACAATACATTAAACCAAAAATAAACCAAATTTTAGCTCAGCATATTGGGATGAATCCAATCTTTGTGTTGCACCCAGCATTATTTAAATGTATAGCAGATCCATTTTAGGGAGCCAGTTTAGTGTCCATTTTAGAGAGCCAGTTTAATGTAGTGCTTAAAACATCAGGCTAAAACTGAAGATTATGAGTTCTAATACTCCCTTAGACACAAAACCAGTCATTATCTCTCAGCCCTAGGAAGAAAGCAATAACACACCACTTGTGAAATTTTAGCAAGAAAACTGCAAGATCTGGACCAGACAATCACTAGGTGTCAAGACTGATTTGAAGGCACCCCAAAATTTTTATTTAAGAAAGAGAATTTAAAGCAGTAGATTCATGTGTGTTGTTGTTGTTAATTGCGAAGTCGTGTCCGACCCATCGCGACCCCATGGACAACGTTCCTCCAGGTCTTCCTGTCCTCTACCATCTTCTGGAGTCCATTTAAATTCACACCTACTGCTTCAGTGACTCCATCCAGCCATCTCATTCTCTGTCGTCCCCTTCTTCTATTGCCATCAATCTTTCCCAGCATTAGGCTCTTCTCCAGTGAATCCTTCCTTCTCATTAGGTGGCCAAAGTACTTGAGTTTCAACTTCAGGATCTGGCCTGCTAAAGAGCAGTCGGGGTTGATCTCTTCTAGGACTGACCGGTTTGAACGCCTTGCAGTCCAAGGGACTCGCAGGAGTCTTCTCCAGCACCATAGTTCAAAGGCCTCAATTCTTTTGCGCTCAGCCTTTCTTATGGTCCAACTGTCACAGCCATACATTGCAACTGGGAAAACCATGGCCTGGACTATACGCACTTTTGGTGGCAGGGTGATGTCTCTGCTTTTTAGTATGCTGTCTAGATTTGCCATAGCTTTCCTCCCCAGGAGCAAGCGTCTTTTAATTTCTTGGCTGCAGTCCCCATCTGAGGTGATCTTTGAGCCCAGAAAAATAAAATCTGTCACTACCTCCATATCTTCCCCATCTATTTGCCAGGAATTGAGAGGGCCGGATGCCATGATTTTGGTTTTCTTAATGTTGAGTTTCAAGCCAACTTTTGCACTCTCCTTCTTCACCCGCATCAAGAGGCTCTTTAGTTCCTCTTCACTTTCTGCCCTTAGAGTGGTATCATCTGCATATCTTAGGTTATTGATATTTCTCCCGGCAATCTTAATTCCAACTTTTGATTCATCTAGCCCTGCCTTTCTCATGATGTGCTCTGCATATAAGTTAAATAGGCAGGGCGACAGTATACAACCTTGCCGGACTCCTTTTCCAATTTTGAACCCATCAGTGGTTCCGTGTCCAGTTCTCACTGTTGCTTCTTGACCCGCATATAAGTTTCTCAAGAGACAAATGAGATGGTCTGGTACTCCCATCTCTTTAAGAACTTGCCACAATTTGTTGTGATCCACACAATCAAAGGCTTTTGCATAGTCAATGAAGCAGAAGTAGATTTTTTCTGGAACTCCCTAGCTTTCTCCATGATCCAGCGTATGTTGGCAATTTGATCTCTAGTTCCTCTGCCTCTTCGAAATCCTGCCTGTACTTCTGGTAGTTCTCGATCCACATACTGCTGGAGTCTAGCTTGTAGGATTTTAAGCATAACTTTACTAGCATGTGAAATGAGTGCAATGGTGCGATAGTTTGAACATTCTTTGGCATTGTCTTTCTTTGAAATTGGAATGTAAACTGACCTTTTCCAATCCTGTGGCCACTGTTGAATTTTCCAAATTTGCTGGCAAATTGAGTGTAGCACTTTTACTGCATCATCTTTTAGGATTTTGAATAGCTCAGCTGGAATACTGTCACCTCCACTAGCTTTGTTGTTGCTCAGATTTTCTAAGGCCCATTTCACTTCACATTCTAGGATGTCTGGTTCGAGGTCAATGACCATCTCACTGTGGTTATCTGGGACGTTAAGCTCATTCTTGTATAGTTCTTCTGTGTAGTTTTGCTATCTCTTCTTAATCTCTTCTGCCTCTGTTAGGTCCCTGCCATTTTGGTCCTTTAACATGCCCATCTTTGCATGAAACGTTCCCTTCATATCTCCAATTTTCTTGAAGAGATCTCTGGTCCTCCATATTCTGTTGTTTTCTTCTATTTCTTTGCACTGTTCATTTAAGAAGGCATTCTTATCTCTTCTAGCTACTCTCTGGAATTCTGCATTCAAGTGGGTGTATCTTTCTCTTTCTCCTTTGCCTTTCGCTTCCCTTCTTTCCTCAGCTATTTGCAAAGCTTCCTCAGACAGCCATTTTGCTTTCTTGCATTTCTTTTTCTTTGGGATGGTTTTAGTTGCTACCTCTTGTACAATGTTGCGAACTTCCATCCATAGTTCTTCAGGCACTCTGTCTATCAGATCCAGTTCCTTAAATCTATTTGTCACCTCTACTGTATATTCATGAGGAATATGATTTAGTTCATACCTGAGTGGCCTAGTGCTTTTCCCTACTTTTTTCAATTTCAGCCTAAATTTTGCAATGAGAAGCTCATGATCTGAGCCACAGTCAGCTCCTGGTCTTGTTTTTACTGATTGTATAGAGCTTCTCCATCTTTGGCTGCAGAGCACATAGTCAATCTGATTTCTAGGTTGACCGTCTGGTGATGCCCATGTGTAGAGCAGTCTCTTGGGTTGTTGGAAAAGAGTGTTTGTTATGACCATCGTATTCTCTTGACAAAATTCTATCAGCCTGTGCCCTGCTTCATTTTGTACTCCAAGGCCAAACTTGCATGTTATTCCGGTTATCTTTTGGCTTCCTACCTTAGCATTCCAATCCCCCATGATGATAAGGACATCATTTTTTGGTATTAATTCTATAAGGTGCTGTAGGGCTTCATAGAACCGGTCAATTTCATCCTCTTCAGTACCAGTGGTTGGGGCATAGATTTGGACTACTGTGATATTGAATGGTTTGCCTTGGATTCGAAGTGAGATCATTCTGTCATTTTGGGGATTGTATCCCAGTATTGCTTTTCCTATTCTTTTATTGACTATGAAGGCTACTCCATTTCTTCTGAGGGATTCTTGCCCACAGTAGTATACCTGATGGTCATCTGAGTTAAATTCAGCCATTCCTGTCCATTTTAGTTCGCTGATTCCTAAGATGTTGATGATCAGTCTTGTCATCTCTTTTTTGACTACGTCTAGCTTGCCTTGATTCATGGATCTTACATTCCAGGTTCCTATGGAGAAAAAATCTTTACAGCATCGGACTTTCCTTTCACCATGAGATATATCCACAGCTGAGCGTCCTTTCGGCTTTGGCCCAGTCGCTTCATTCTTTCTGGCGCTACTAGTACTAGCCCTCTGCTCTTCCCCAGTAGCATATTGGACACCTTCCGACCTGAGGGGCTCATCTTCCAGCGTAATATCTTTTTGCCTTTTAGTACTGTCCATGGGGTTTTCATGGCAAAGATACTGGAGTGGTTTGCCATTTCCTTCTCCAGTGGATCACATTTTATCAGAACTCTCTGCTATAACCTGTCCATCTTGGGTGGCCCTGCATGGCATAGCTTATAGCTTCATTGAGTTACGCAAGCCCCTTCGCCACGACAAGGCAGTAATCCATAAAGGGGAGATTCATGTGTACCTCTCTATTTTCCAAGGCTCTGTTCCAGCTTGGCTAGATACAATCACAGCTGGTCAATACTCGGATGGTATTTTGCCAAGTGTCAAGGCAGTCATCAGATGCTCAGGTAATTGATTCTTTTGGGTCCAGAGACAATGAGCACTCTGATCAATAGATTTTAAGCTTTATTACTAACTCAAGCAAATAGAGTTATTAAAAGCATATATACCAAGCAAGTTAATACCCAAATTTCTTGTAAGATGTCAGGAGCTCCTTAAAAATAGCAGAGGTACCAGGAGTAGGCAACGTAGGCTCTTTTATGACTCGTGGACTTCAACTCCCAGAATTCCTGAGCCAGCAGGGGAGTTGAAGTCCAGAGTCATAAAAGAGCTGAGGTTGCCTATCCCTGCCTAACCTATCCAAGGTTAGATTCAGTTACAGAAGCTTCTCGCAAATAACAACCCTGCAGTTTTTATCAAAAGTTGATAGCCCTGATATGGTTAGGACCTGATCTTGATTGGTTGGCACATGACCCTGGGATGGAAATCCAGAGTGTGAGACTTTCACAACAGAAGCTTTGGGACTACCTGGTAATTTTGCCCAGCCCCTTCAGTAAGCAGGAATGAAAAGGAGAAATCAAAATATGTCACCAAACTCCTCCTAAAAAGAATGGTCTTCTGCTTTGCCATTGTAGATGGAAGAAACGTCAGGGCTGGGGAATGAAAGGATGTCAAGAAAAGAAGTCCAGGAAGCATCGCTGAGGCAGGCAAGAGTCGATTACTTCCCTACGCGAAGTGTCGTTGCTGGGAAACAACAGGTCCCTGTAATCCTCTGGGTTGAACTCAACTCCAGGGAGACCTTATTCTAAATATTCTAAATGCATAAACCGAGTCTTTAACTCATATTCGTCAGAAAGCAAATCCAAAGGAAGGCAGCGGGACTTAATTTATATTGGGAATCACTCTTTATTAAACCGGGAAAACTACTGCGGGTCAGATTCAGAAAAAAAGATCTAAAAGTGAGACTTTGGAAAGCTGATGTTCACCGTTCTCAACAAAAAAAACAAAAACAAAACCCGCCCAATTATATCCCTCTACGATGCTGTCGATCGGGACAATTGCCTCTCCTACAGCTGCTGAATTCAGGTTCCCCCTGCCCCACCTCCCACAGAACGTCGGAAAAGGAACAGGGCACCAAGAGGGGAAACAAGAAACGCGCCAGAGCGCGTGCGAGAGAAACTCTCCGGCGAGCCGGCGTCCGCCGCTGCGGCCAATGAGACGGCGGAGAGGGGAGAGGGAGGCGGGGCGTGGGTGGATGGGCGGCCTCCGCCTTTAGGGGAGAGCGCGGGACGGGCGGGGCCCCAGAGGAGCTTTGGGGCTGGGGAGCGTTGGGGCTCCCCTTTGGTTGGCGGCTGCACGCGCGACTCCTGCTGCTCCCAAGGCAGGCAGGCAGGCAGGCAAAGCACCTTTCCTTCCCGTCCCTTTCCCGGCTGCAGCCTTCTGTAGCGGGGCTTCCCCGTCCCTCCTTCGCCTCCTTCTGTCCGGTCGTCCCTCCTGGCAGCCCTCTGCTCTCCTCTTCTTCCTTTTTTTTCTCTTTCCTCCCTCCATTCCCGGGTCTTTTAATCCCCTTTCCCCGACATCCCCCACTTCTCTCCCCTAGAGAGGCTCCGCTCCCACCGCCTTGCCTTTCTTCCTCCGCCCCTCATTGTCTTCTGCAGCATATTGCCCAATTTTCAAAGCAGGGGGAAACTCGCTATGGGCGAGGACGAGGCAGTCCCGGTGGCTCCCCGGTTCCCTTCCAGCGCCAGCTAGAAAAAGCGGGGCTTTTCGGGCTCGGCCAGGGAGAGTGAGCTATACGGCAGCAACCTTTCTTCTTGCAGCGGCAGCGGCGACCGTCCCTCTGGTGATCCGCCAGGCATCGCGTTGTCTTGGGGCGCTCGGCCCGTCGAGCCCGATGTGCGAATTGCTTGACTCGCAGCAGCCGGCCGAGAAACTGAGCAGAATGAAAAAGTTACGGCGAACTTTGTCGGAGAGTTTCGGCAGACTAGGTAAGGGGGCCGAAAGAGGGAGGGCGAGCGAGCTGGCATTCCTAAGCCCCGAGCCCTGTTCCAACTATCGCCTCGCGGCTCAGTGGGTCAGTTTGGAAGCTGAATTGCTTTGAAATTTTGTTTGCTGCCAAGGAAGCTACAACCTATGATGGGGAGAGTGATGGGAGTTGTAGTCCAGCACCCTCTGGAGGCTGCCGGCTTGGCTAAAGTTACTTTCCTCATAGCACTCAGTGGCTCGCTGACCCTGTTTTCTGGCCGTCTTTTTCTGCATTGTAATAATATTTTGGAAAATTGATTTTTTATAAAAATGTACCCAGTTCAAACCGTTTTATGCAGAGATCGTCTTGCTCATTAAATTGAAACGATTAACAGCTGTTATGTCCCGAGAATTACAACATTAGCTAGAAATGTGTTCTTGTCATTTTGACTTACCCTTAAAAAAACTTAGCTGCTATTGAGTGTTGATTGTGTTTAGCAGAATATAAACTGTCTGTAGTTTGCTTTTACTTAAATTGCTGATGTAGTTAACATGGAACATCTCCAAATAGGGTAATTGAATGGCAGCATACTCTCTTCTTAAAAAAATATATGAAATTAGATGGATATTAATTTGTTATGAACAATTGAAAAAACTAAACAAGAATAGAAAGTATTTTGAATTAATTGAAAATTATTTTTTAAAATGGATTCAAATACCTTCAAACTATGCTTTTGAAAAAAAAAAGATGTTTTGTTTTCTATGGATGAATGTTAAGAAAATATATTTTTCTTAAGCAGGCATATAAAAAAAGTGTATGAACATAGACTAACTGCTGTTTTCTAATGCATGTTTTAGTGGCTTTGCTGTCACATGTTTCAGATGACCCAATTGTAATTTGTTTCATTCTTTTGTAATGCAAGATTGAAGGATTCCCTACAAAGGATATGGAAATAAAAAAAAGTTTAAGTTTATCAAAGGGAATGGAAATAAAAAATTAAATTATCAAAAATAAATGAAGGATATTATAATAACATTGTTATACCAGATCAATAATAGAGGTGATAGTTGTAAATTATATTTAGAAAAAAACTGTTCTATTGTTTTAACAGAATCAGAGTGATTCTTTTCTGGAATATTATTTATGAATGTGTGAGAGGAAAAAAGGTTCCAATTGCTTGCATACTTGAAATTGCTCAGTATCCCTTCGGGCCAGAACATACTTTCTAGAATTAGTTCTCCCAGTTGTGAGATGGAACAAGTTACAAATGTAAACCAATTGTGTTTCAGAAAAGATGATCTAAAAGGAGTAGTATGTGAACTGCATTTGAAAATTGGAATTTACATAAGATAAGATAACCTTTATTGTCATTTTTTTTACTGTGGACATACATCAAAAATGAAATTAGTTGCCGTTCTCAAAGTGAAACACATACATGACACACACCTAAACATACTATATACAACATATGTATAGACCCAGTTCCTGCACCATCATCAATAATAATGATTTCTGTAACAAAAGGGATCTCCTTGGCCTTTAGGCGATAGATACCTTATTCAATAATATTAGTAGGAAAATGAAAATGCTTCCAGACGGCTTAGTGGTAAGACAAAAATCGGAAATCCCACTAATATCCTAGTATAGAAATCTTCACTTGCCCATTAATTTGTGATTTAAGTTGTTTGGAATCTAAAGTGCTAAAGATTTGATACTTCACCAAAGGTATTTGCAAGTTCTTCACAGTATAAGAAAAAGCTTGCTGTGTTTGTACCTTTTATTTATATTATTTTATTTTTCTTTAGCCAAATTAGCCATTAGAAGTTGCTCAGAAATTCTCTTACCTCTGCTGGCCCAATGTTCCTGTCATCTTTTGGCACTTTTTGCTTTGTAAATATAGAAACACCTTTTGGATGACACTACATGATGGTGTGTCATCAATAAAAATGTATATAAGGTGTCATATTTACATAAGATGTTCTACAGCCATCTCCTAAATTATTCATAGATTTCTCTTTATTCATCTGAATAAGATATCAGAGAATACATAGGAATGTAGGATAAGCCTTCTACTTAAAGCAAATTCATTAGGATGCAAATTGATTTAATGTTGCTTATTATATATTTATATCCTGCTTTTCCTTAAGCAATTCAAGACAGCCAACATTTTTTCATTTTTTTTACAGGTTGGCAAATACAGTGTCAAATCTGTCTTTTAAGTACATGTTAAGCTATCTCCTGGTCAGAATAAGGGATGTGAATATTAGGTAGATTATAGAAAGGAATATTGAAATTTGGAAAAATTCTAATTGCTCCTATTGAGCTAAACTAGTCTCTGTATAGTTCTTTCTGATTAATATAAATTAAATTCAAAGTTATCTGCTAGTTCTATGAGGATTCCTTGAAATAAATAACTCTTATCTAAATGTTCAGTTGTGATGATATGAAGATCTAAGGAATCTGTGAATTTGAACTTTCAGGTCAGCTCTTCCTAAAATGGATCTGTATCTTTCAAAATTCCAGTAAACATGACCTTTGGTATCACTGTGGGCCAACATTTTGGGAGCAATTGAGAAAGCCTGTTTCAGATCAACTACTGAAAAGGAAATGAGTGAATGCCCTTATTGTATACTGTTACTACCAATTACATTACTCATAATTATTCCTAATTTAATTTTTGGGCTGCTTGAGGAAGTACAAAACAATTTTTGCTTGAATTAAAACGGAAGAATATCAGAACCTTCATTCTGTTATACAAAATTGCTTGTGATTCTGGATACCTTAAGTGCAAAGAATTCTTTTTCACCTGGGGACTTACTTCTCCTACAGAACTATTTGTCAGACGCAGTTGTAGAACTGAATCTTTAGTGTGGATGTTAGGTGGTTCCATTACAAAATAAAGGCATATCTGATGTCAGTAATAACAGCCCTGGGGAGGATTTCTAAATAGCATTTTATCTGGTCTAAATCTCTGATTGATACTAAGCACAATAATGGTGTTCTTGCTAAAGGGCTGAAAAATCAGCAAACCATTCAAATAAATAAAAAAGGGCCCATTAGTCCTGACCTGTTACTCCCGTTTATAGTGTTTAATTATTTTAATGCTTGAGCAAAATGTTTTGCTTCAAGCACTTTGTTGTAGACATTGCAGATTGTTGTAGGAATGCATTTCATTCATTAATTATAAGAACTTCAGCTTCCTTGGCCAAACCTTGTGGAGCTATATTTTCTTTCACACACTGGCTAGTTGGCCAGCTAGCCCTAAAAAACCTACTAATGGTGGCCTTCTCAAGCTGTTGCCACCCAGCAGCTGCTGTTTGTTGGCATTCTGCCTTAAACCCTGGGTGGTCTTTTTTTGACTCATACTTAATAGTCATTGATAGACTTCCTCCCTGAATCTGTTAATTTGTTATTGAAGCTAGTGGGTACTACAATATCATATTGCAATTATTTCTATAAATGAATTATGCATAATGTGAAGTACTTTCTTCTGTCCGGTCACTTTCATTGAATGTGTAATACATTATTAGGTGAGAAAAATCTATTGTGGATAATTCTATTTAAAAAAAAAAATCGTAAAGTAACTTGTTCTTTTTAAATCTAACAAGCCCTCTGTGCATCAGGCATTAAAGTCCCAAGCAAATTACGAATTTTGTGAACTTCTTGTTTTTCTGTTGTCAGCCCGTTGCTACACAATTTCATTCAATGTCACTTGAATTTCAGCTTTATGAAAAACTTAGATGTTTTTCTTAAAGTAACATCATTATATAATTCATCTTTAAATATCTGACATATGTGGTTGCTCTGTGTCTTTTATGTTATAAGTGAGATCTATCTCCTTGATTTTTGTGAGTCAGAAAAGGTTTTCACATTTATTATTAACATACTTTTCTATACTACTACTATTGCTAGTATCTGTTTCTGATTGGAGTGACAGACATTCATATATTCTGACTCTGATAATGTCAGCCTTACCAGGTAGACTAGACAGGAAACATGGCCAGATAAGATAATTCTGCTTTATTGTAAAGTTACCGTACATTAAGAGCATCTTACAAGTCTCAAAGTATATTTCTTCTTATATCACTTATACAGCCCAATAATTTAGGGAGGGTCCCTCCCCGAGCCTCTAGCTCTGCCAACTCTGCAGCTGTGGGCTGTGTTCCCTCTTATCTGACTGTTCCCTAGGCATGCATCTCTTTGCTTGGCATCCCAAGGTCATTTCAACATAGCATTTCAGATATGGAAATTAATGTTGGTGAATTACAGTAGTATGGAATTTTATAATTTAAAATTATAGTTTTGCAAACTTTAATGATATTAATTGAGTGACAGCATGCTAGTGAGATCTTAATTTTTTATCCAAGCTTTTCTTTTATTTAGAGCTAAAGCAGCATATTTAATGATTTAATTCAAAATCATTTAGTAATCTCTGCCTTGAATTAGGTTTTAGTAATTTTAAAACTTTAGAATTAAGGTTAGTCAATATTTTAGAGCCTTGAATCTCATAGCATTGGATGCCTGCTGGTGATGCGAAGCAGCAAGGGGTTATAAGGATAGGGGGAAAAGTGATATCAGTCAATATTTTGGACTAGGAAATTTCTGAAAATGATTTATAAAGAGGAGTATATTCTTGGCACAAAGCTAAATTCCAAGCACAAAACCACAAAAATTTTCTATAGGTGTTTACATTCCCCTATGGTAGTAGGACAAAATTACAGGCAGCCCTTGAGTTACAACAATTTTGTTGAGCTCTTCATTAAAAGTACTGTTTTTCCTTTGAAGATTCCTCTTCATTCTTCAGATGAAACTGATTCTGAGCATATGTGAGGAATAATAGGTAGGAAACTTGTTTATGTGGCTCATGGTGCTTTTACAGACATACCCATATATAATTTTTTGTTTGAAAGAAATGAATAAATGGAAAATGGAAAAGTTGATTTTTTACAGAACAACCACCATTCCCTAGCATTTTTTTTTTCAAAAATAGTAATTCTCAGCTCCATATGAATCAGAAAGGTGGTGTCTCCAGCTCAATGCTTTGTTTGAATGGGTGACCCTTTACTCAGGTAAAGGCAAGGATAAACTGTAGTGCTAAAAAGCTATGATGTTAAAGAGAAGAGTGAGTTTTCCTTCTTATTAATGCCTTTTGTGGCAGCCATCTGGTAGGAGAACTCAGAATGTACTTTCAAAAGTGCACTTGCTCTCACTGATGATCTTTTTGTTAATAAACAAGGCTCTGGTTTTATTTTCTGTCCTTTGAAACTTGATTATTGCGGTGTGTTGAGCTGTACAGGATATGTATAAAAGCAAAAAATGGTGTGGTGTTTGAAGATACTATCATACAGGAAAGCACAAATCTGTCAGATTTCAAGTCCACATGTAACTCTCCTTGCTTGAGAAAAGCTACAGAGAACAATTTGTTGTTTGTACTGTATGTTGTTTTCCAGCACTGCCTCAGTTTTGATTAGATGAAGCATATCTGTGGCCTGTTATTATTTGCTTAGTACTTCTCCATTTATTCAGCAGTTCAAGCAGAATATGTAGCACTTCTTCCTTTTTTTCCCTCTCTCATAACATTTGTTCTTAAAAATAGCGTAAATTATAACTTATATACAGTGAAGTGAAGTGATTTTATTCAAGTTAAGTTTAATAACTACAAAGAAATATTTGGTTTATTTTAGCATTTTGTACAAATAATATAAGCTAATTAGACAACAAATTATCTCTTTTTTTCTAGCCTTGAACAAAGATGATAATGGCTTTGATGAGGTAAGTTACATTTTCTATTTCAAATTTTATTTAAACATATATTGGGCAAAATATTACAAATTAGAAAGATGAATTAAAAAGAATAATAGCGACTAAAAGAATTATTTATACAACACAAACACATAAACCATGAAAAAAGTACAAAAAACAAATTAATGTAATTTGATATATTTATTTATTTGACTTATATACCGCTTTAAGTGCAAGCACTCTCTAAGCGGTGTACACCAGTAAGCAATGTATATATATATATTTACATTGCCCCCAACAATCTGGGTCCTCATTACATTTCTAATTGTAAGAATACTCAATTTTAAACATCCATATTGAACCCTTCTAGTTCAAAAAAGTGTATGTGTAGATGGAGTAATATATTTTTATGCTGATTTAATCTATAAAAGATACCAAATAAAAAAATATAAAATATTTGTTGCTGTGTTAGTTTTTTTAGCCATTTCTTTTTCATACTTTTAATTATCACTAATGTGAAGAAAGATGTACTTTAATTTTTCCAGTTTTTGCTGCAGCAAATTTATAGGAAGGAAACTGAATAATTTTTATATTGCACTATTTTATATTTTCTGAAGAATATAGCTGCATTAGAATTATTTATTAAACACTTTTAGTAGTTTTACCAATGTCTTCAAAAACTCCTAGCCAAAATGAGTAACAAAGGGGTTAATGACACTTTTTGGTAGGAATATGAAATAAAAGGCTTCTCTCAATAGAGGCTGTAATGCACTTTTAAGGAAATGTAGCATGATTTGCTATTTTTATAGTTGATGATTTCTAAAATAAATTTAAATAATATTTTGTATTGACTCATCAAATTTCAAATCCCAAGTCATTTCCTGTTCATTCAAACATTTTGAAAAAAGTCTGTTCTATTTAATATAAGAATTTCTAAAGTATTGATGAAATTATTCCAGTTTAAAGTGTTTTAGAAATCCACTATACTTCATACATTGTTTATATCCTTGTTTTATAAGATCTTATGAGTTGAAAAAGAAATTATTGAATATAGTTGATTAAAACCACATTAGAACTTGTGACCAATTTTTCTGTGGAAGATACTCAACAGAAATCCTCTTTTAAAAAGAGATTTATGAAGAATTAGGACCATCAGTTAGGTTTCAGCATAGAAGGTTTGTTCAAGCCTATACACAAGAATCTGATCAACTAAAGCAGTGGTTCTCAACCTGTGGGTCGGGACCCCATTTGGGGTCGAAGGACCATTTCACAGGGGTCGGCAAACAATGCAGTCCGCCATTTTTTCCCTCTTTTCCTTAGCTGTGCTACTCCCGTTTATTCTATTGGCTTTTGAAAGTCAATAGAATAGACTCTCTTGAATAGAGTCTAATTCTATTGGCTTTCAAAAGCCAATAGGAATTGTCCAGGCTGTCTCTGTCCTGCTGAGCCCGCCAAAAGTCCTATTCTGCAAACGGTGCTGCACCAGTTGAATAGTCCTCGACTTATGACCGGTTGAGTAGTCCTCGACTTACGACTGGTTGGGGTCGCGGCATTAAAAAGGTTGAGAACTACTGAACTAAAGTTTAACACTAAACTGGCGCCAGATAAAGGTCAACTGAATTCAGGGAGGATTGAAGCTGAGCGCTTGTGGGTACACAGTGTCTCTAAATTGGTAGTGCACTTAACTCCCTAACTCTGCTGTTTTTCAACAGGAATTATATTTTTCCATGTATTTAAATTTAGATGGCCTATGAATAAAATAAGTTTTGGAGAGGTTCTTCAAAATGTTAAAGTAACTTTAACATATGAATTTGTGATAGAGAATATTAATTTATTTTAGAAAATTGAAGAATTGTCCTAAAACATTGCACTCCTTGGGTTAATTAATGTGAGTTGTTTCAACATAAAAGTAGGCAACTACTTAATTTACAATTCCATTATGGAATGTTCTGAAGGATTCTAGAATGCACCATTCCTTATTGGCTCCTTTCTGACTCAGCTATTCCAGAAATAATTTATAAATTTTCTGGAAGTTAGTTTTCTGAACCAGAAATGATTCTTGTTCTAGATGAAAGAAGAACTGAATTGGCTTTTGTTTTTACATGTTGTTACTGATTTTTTTTCCAGTTTTATATGTTCTTATTGAAAATTATATCATCATAAACAAATCTCCATGATAGTTTTATTTATTTAATTTGTCTGATTCTGAATTTTTTAAAATAATGCCATACCTATAGAGGAAAAAAAAATCCTTGTTATGTGTTGAAGCAAGTAATAGATGAAGGGATTAGAAGAATTTGAAACAAATAAAAATTTATAAAGAATCTGTATTTTAATTATAGTTATTGTGTGAAGCAATGGTGAAGGAGATAAAATATATTATGTTTTTCAACTAATAAATGGTGTGATAGTATCTCGTGAGAATCTATTGTATAATGCCATAAAATTACCAACAATAAAGGTTAATGCCTAATTCTGAGTCATTTACCTCTTTGCTTTAATTTGTCACTGGCTTTCAAATGAACGCCTATCCCTGTTGTTTAGATAGGCTGTTGCCTTAGACAGCAACTTCGATTCCATCTGCTTTAAGACTATGTTTTGATCTTCTGTTCTCTGAAAACTGAGAAGCAAGTGGATACAGTTAATGTGAATTGGAACTTAAAGGAAATGGAATATGGCACTCTGAAAATCAGGTTGTCTGGAATGATGAATTCAGTGAATCTCTCTTTATACTGAATTTGTGAAAGTACAGAAATTACGTCAAAGTGTAAGCCCTATAATTGTTTCATTATACATAAGTCATAAATTCTGCAACCAGACCTATACCAGGCTGTTCTTTTAATTGTATTATAAATCTGGCATGCTTCTAATGCTTTGTTTCTTCTCTCTGAAAGTGACTAGAATGTTTATAAAATTTACAGGATGTTAAGAGTTCCTTAGAATTTTTTGATATAGGAAGAAAATATTAAACTGTACTTAAAATACTTGTCCCAAATTAAATCTCAAGTGAGACAAAACTTTTTTTTGCTCTTTAAATGGATTAATGGATGCTTCCTTATCTTTGTGGCCTGCAAAGCATATATTATTATCAATTGTATAAACATAGGCTTTTTTTTTTTGCAGTGTAAGATCTGGTGACATTCTAATTTATCTACTAAATATATAGCTCATTATAACTAGAAAAAGAAAATATTTAGGTGATATTTAGATGAATTTGCCTATGTTCTGTGCATCTGCAAATATATATGTACTCTAATCATAAGGCAAAATACATATACAAGTAGTCTTCAATTATGACTTCAATGGAGCACAAAATTTTTATTGTTAAGTGTTTAAGTGAGGTGTGCCCCATTTTATGATATTTTTGCCATAGTTGTGAAGTGAATCACTGCAGTGATTAAGTGAATCATGTGGCTAATAAGTGAATTTGGTTTTGCCCATTGGCTTTGCTTGTTGGAAGCCAGATGGGAAGGTTACATATGATGATTGCATGACCGTGGACAGGACAGCTATCATAAATACATGTCAGATGTGTAGTGCCTGAATTTTGATTACATGACTATGGGATGCAGCAACTGTTGTAAGTGTGAAAACCAATCATAAGTTACCTTTTTCAGTGTCAGGTAACTTTGAACAGTCACTAAATGAATGGCTATACATGTAGGTCAAGAACTACATGTATAGCCATTTTACTAGTCCTTTTTTTTGGCTGGGCAATATTGTATACCCCCCAGAAAAATGTAAACAAAAATAACCAGTATGAGAGGAAAACATACACTGATTCATACATAGTTTTTCTCATCTAAACTTCTCAGCTTCCTCTTTTTGAGGATTTTATGAGCTCTATTCCAACATAATTTTATTGGTCTTCCTCCTTACTCTTCACTCTTCCTTCATATATATTTCTTTTGCAATTCCATCTTCCTCCTGTTTCTCTGTTTTTTATGTTATTTACTTTGGGGTAAAATTCATACACACACACACACACACACACACACACACATAAATACACACATACACCCATACATACATACATATATACATACATACACACACATATATACACACATACACATACACACACACACACACACATATATATATACAGATATGTACATATACATATATATACAAATTAAAAAAAAGGAGTTTTGTGCTTAGTAACTACAATATATATCTTTAATTTATTAATGTTATTTAATCAGTGTTATCCCACCCTTTTAAAAAATAAAATGGATTTAGGGCATTTGCTGCATTTAATATGTGCTCTCATATGCCCCATGAAAGTAGTGAATACCTGGTCAGTATGCAGATGACTTCTAACTTTCTGTCAATTTTATGTATCTGCTAAAACTTTCAAATGTAGTTCTGAACCCTGACAGATTATTTTGCTGACATGCAAAAGGTGGATTGGATAAAGCGTAGAATTAAATTATTTTTCCATGTTCTCAAAATCCTTCTTGTTAACTTAATGAGATTTTTAGTTACTGTCACTGAACATTGCAAAATAAGGGAGGGCATAATATATTTCTGGGGATTTTAATTCTTCTATTTTTGTCCCATAGTTGGCAAAGCAAGAGGGACATTTTTTTTTTCAGGCAAAGGCACAGAGATTCATGATTTGTCCTGGAATGTTAGGAATCATTCGATAGGTGAATACAAATTATTCTTCCTTCTGGAGCTTTATTTATAGCTCAAGTTTATTTTGGTTTGTTTTTAAAGTTGATGCTAGGGGAACTTATTGCCAAAGGCTGGCTGGGTACTGCAACAGAGAAAATAGTTGATTTCTGATCCTTTCAGTAAAAAATATGATAGGCATCAATCAACTTCTTTTGCCATTTCTATGTTTTATATAACAAGCTATTGATTTTTACACATTGAGCAGTGCTTCATTGGTAAAAAAAAAAGGAAAAGAAAAAAAGAGCTCAATCTTCGGTCTTTCTGTACCGGGATGATGGCTGGAGATTGAACCAGGAAACTGAAAAAAGGCTGGGTAAGAGTCGGATTGCCAACATATAAAGGGATCCATAAAGAACAAATGAGAGGCGTTTTCAAAGTGGAAAAAGTAGTAGAAAATTAAAAATGAGTGGAAATACTGTAGTATAAAATCCCAGAGGAAATTTAAGCACTGAATATAAAGAACTATTTGAACTTAACCTTATGCTCTCCATTTGGACATCATTCTGCTCAGCATGGCAATGCGAACAGATTGTGATAGTATACTAGGTCTTGTATTCTTAGTCTAAATTATATGAAAATGATTTTTTTCCAATTGATAGACTTTGTTTGTCTATGATAAAAGAGAAATGGTTTATTAGGATAGTTCTGCTGTTTGAAGAAAGCAA